TTTATAGTGTTCCTGCTCCAAAATCCAAGTAAAAGATGGTTGGTTCTCCCTTACCCCTTTTTGGTTTTGCTTTTAAAGGGGGCTTTTTAAATGGGTCTGTAAGATTATCTGGCATTTCTGCTAAAAGCTTTTTAGTCAGAATTCTTATGAAATATTAAGTGAATGAAAAAAAATGAAAGGAAAGGGTGGGGTTTTGTTTTGTTTTTTGTTTTTGTTTTTGTTTGTTTGTTTTTTGTTTTTCAAGACAGGGTTTCTCTGTGTAGTTTTGGTGCCAGTCCTGGAACTCACTCTGTAGCCCAGGCTGGCCTCGAACTCACAGAGATCCACCTGTCTCTGCCTCCTGAGTGCTGGGATTAAAGGCTTGAGCCACCACCTCCCAGCAACAGGAAAGGACATGACTGCTCCTAGGTATGGTGGAAGAGAAAGTTTATTGTAGATAAAAGAGAGAGCATAGCCAGAGGCAGCGACTTCTGGAAGAGTCTAGAGTGGACATGACCATACTGAACTGGGCCATGTTGGGGTGGGAGAGGGGAAGGGAGAGAGGAGAACCAGGTACAGCAGCCAGGAGGCCAAAGGGACGAAAGGGGCAGGTAACCAAAATATCTGGATAATATATGGAAGAGCCTCTGGGGGCCAGGTGTGCCAGCCATACCTTGTAACAAGTAGGGACTGAAGGATGCTGGGAGAACCTGGAGGCATCTCAGCCGTTGGTTCCTAGTTTGAAATGTAACATTAAGTTACCAGAGAAATGAATTTGTATGAAGTGCTAGTTAAGTAATTCTGTAACTGTCAGTGTTCTGTTACTGCAATACAACACTGACTAAAAGTAGCTTGGGGAAGAAAGAGTTGATTTTGGCTAACATTTCCATGTCCCAGTCCATCATCCAGGAAGGCCAGTGCAGCCACCTGAAGGCAGGAGCTGAAGCAGAGACCAGCAAGGAATGCCACCCACTGGCTTCCCTTGCTTCCCGGCCACCTTTCTCAGACAGCCTGCCTGCCCAGGGGTCCCGCCTGCATTCATTAGCAATCCAAAAAACGCCCCATAGATGTGCAGACAGGCCAATCTGATAGAGGTAATTCCCTCATTAGTGTGAGAGTTTTTAAGTGGATGAGATGGCCCTGGGGGTAAAGGCGCTTGTCTGGTGTCCTTAGTTTGATTCTTGGAACCCACATGAAGATGGCCGGAGAGAACTGGTCCTCTAGCCTTCTCGTGTGCACCCTGACCCCTTGACTCTCTCACTCACACACACACACACACACACACACACACACACACACACACACACAAATAACCATTTGAGAACAGCAGGGTTTTATATCTAAAAATAGTGAGAATAAGTAGTTTTGGGAACCCTTTTTTTTTTTTTAAATTTTTTGGTGAAACCTGTGATGTCCCCCTTATGGAACATGCCCTGTCACGGACAGTTGCTTGCCATAGCTGCTACTCACGTTTGCCCTTTCACCCACTCTGTATCTGAAAGTGTGTGCTTGACATGAGCGGGAAACTGAGGCATGAGTTACTGTGCTGTGTTCTGAAGCGAGTGACTCTCGGTGACAGCCTCCTGAGAAGATGCAGTCCCTTAGATCAGCTCAGCATGCTTCTTGTTGAATGATTATATGCTAGTTTAAAACTGGTGGCCATTCATAGACACTCATGTGTAACTTTTAGGTATGCCAGGGTGGAACTTTTTTAAATATAAAAAAATTAGTTATTTGTTTTCTTGTGTGTGTGTGGCTATTTTGCATGTATGTATGTATGTGAACCGTGTATATGCCTTATACTCTTGGAAGTCAGAAATGGGCATTGGATGCCCTGAAACTGAGTTACAGATAGTTGTGAGCCACCATGTGGATGCTGGGAACTGACTGACCCTGGATCCTCCGCAAGACAGACAAATGCTCTTAACTATAGAGCCATATCTCCAGGCCTGGGCTTTGTTTTTATATACTTTGTGTCTAATTCTTTACTTAGTAGTCGGTAGTATTGCTTCTGTATTACATATAGGAAGAAATAACTCAAAGTTCGTGTTCGGAGGCCACCTGGTGATGGTGGGCAGAGATGTGAAAGATGGCCTGGCTCCGCTCAGGACTCAGTGACTCCCGTCATAAACCAATTGAAAGTGACTGCGTTGATGTCCACATTCGTGTGACTTTCATAATTTAGACAACATTAACAAGTCTAGACCTTCGCTGTTGTCTTACCTTGTGTACTGTTGTGCTCTAATGCCAGGCTGGGATGTTGGCACCGGGTACCAGAAGAGACATCTACGACCAGAAGCTGACATTACAGCCAGTGGACAACTCGACCATCTCTCTTCAGATGGGTACCAACAAAGTCGCTTCCCAGAAAGGAATGAGCGTGTATGGGCTTGGGCGGCAAGTGTATGATCCCAAGTACTGTGCTGCCCCCACGGAGCCTGTCATTCACAACGGAAGCCAGGGCACGGGAACAAATGGGTCAGAAATCAGTGATAGCGACTACCAGGCAGAGTACCCCGATGAATACCATGGCGAGTACACTGATGACTATCCCCGAGAATACCAGTATGGCGACGACCAGGGCATTGACTACTAGAGTCACACATGGGAGCGCAGTATTTAGTCCATTGTTGTTATCCAGTGAGACCCGAGCTAGCCTTGAGTAATTCTTCTCTCGTCTTCCTCAGACACTATTATGCTTATTGTACCTTAAAAAATAAATGCCTTACATACATTCCCTTTTCCTTTTCTGCCTCCTAAATAGTCGCCTTTTAGTGCTGTCAGAGTTAAAAATCCTACAGCATAACCAATAACTTGCGTATGAAGTCAAAAGGAATGCCGTGGGAAGGCAGCCAGTTCTTTTATTGAAGATCTATGCATTTTTTTACAGTCTGACACTTAAACTGGTATTTTCAAACAATAGGAAACTATTTTTCCTTTTTTACAGTGTAGTGTTTATCTGGCTTGTACATGGAAGACTAAAATGTTGATTTGCTAAATGTGGTCTTTGCCAACTAAATCGAGGATGCAGCGTTTAGAATCTGACACATGGATGTTTTTCTGCAGTACTGCTTGCTGAGTTTTAAATAAAGTCATGATCAGTGTGCATCTGTGATTACACGTGTACTTATTCTCTTCCTTAAGCTGACAAGGTCTTTTCCGAGTGGCGCTCCTCCTGAAGGCGTGTGTACCAACATGGCCGCAGACACGTAGGTTCGGGTGGTGTGCCCGCAGACTTCATTTGTGCCAATGTATCACTGCAGTCTCTCTGTTCCCTTCAACTGTATTTATTGCTGCATTTCTCAGCATAAACTTATCCCATTGTATTTTTTATAAATAAATATTTTTTTTGAACATTCATATGAACCACAGGCTGGTTATTTTTTGGCTAGCTTCTCTGTAGGCAGAGTCAGGCCAGAGACCTGAGGCCTCATTCCTTGGATGCTAAGACGGTATTTCAACGTTATTTAATCCATACAACATGGCACTCATGGAGACTGAGTCTAAACCGGGTGTGATGACCTAATATCCGTAACCCAGCACTAGAGAGGCTGAAGCAGGAGGATTTCTGTGAGTTTGAGGTCAGCTTGATCTCCAGAGACCCTGTTTTAGAGCGACATAAACAAAAGAATAACCAAAAGAAGAGACATTCCCATTGTGTAGAGTCAAGTAAGAGCCAAGAATGATCTGGCTCTTGTTCATGACTTGGCTGCCCTGGGTTCATCTTAAATCCAATTTGGAGTACTCTTAAAAGCATTTCCACCTGCAAGGGAGAATTACCGTGTATGCATTGCGGGTGTATCATTTCCACCTGCAAGGGAGAATTACCGTGTATGCATTGCGGGTGTATGTGAATGATGCCCGAAGCGGACATGGGGTGTGCAAACTGAGGAAAACCTAAGCCATCATTGTCACCTTAGAGAAAGCTAAACACCAACGGTGCCATCAACCGAGGGAAGTCAGTCGCTCACGCCTTCTGACCTCATCTCAGCCAAGTGATGTCTTCTGATAGGGCTGGCTGTTAGGCTGCGGTAGTTTTTGCCAAGACAGATAAAGAGATGCTGGAACCCACAGAAATGATGTACACATTCTGCGATGACTCACTCCAATGCTTCTGGGAGTGCCCTGTACATCATGTGTGGAGCTAAATGGCCCCATTTAAGAAAGCATTTGCATTTAAAGTGGACCTGAGCTGTCAGGCTGTTTCTTGTTAAGTTGCAGAGGCAGCTAGGGAAGGGGAGGGGAGGAAGCCTTGTATTACATCACAGCGCTGGCCTGCCAACTCAGTCAAACGGAGCCTCCTGTTAGGGTGGGAGTTCCACATAGCATCTGGGCTGATGAGGTACCCGTCCTCATCTTCAAAGTTCTTTTTAGGGCTTTAAAAGAGGGAAAGCTCTTTTACACCATCTGCCTTTTCAGGTGCTGTTCAGATGTATTTCAAAAATAATCATGATTTTTTAAAAAGCTCCCAGGCAAGTCTCATTTTGGGTGGAGCTTGAGCATCACCCTTTTCTGATTTGCTGATTTGTGAAAGTACCACCTGCTGGCATCCAGCTGAGTGGCATCTTGTGCAACTGCCTGTCCTGGGTGTGCCTGTTGCAGGACAGGAGTTCATGCCTTTCTTACAACAGTAAGGGTAAGAGCTGTACCTTGAGATGCTCATGTGGTTTCTTAGCATGTGTCCAGGGTTGGAAGAATCAGAGAAAGTCCTGCCCTATGGAAGAGCAGTATTCTAGAGATTTCTGCTAATAAAATCCTCCTCAAAAGATAAACTGGTTATGACCTCACACACTCAGGTGAGTTTTTACATAGTACGTTATTTATTTACTTATATTTAGTGTGTGTGCGCGTGCGCACGTGCATGTGTGTGCGCACGTGCATGTGTGTGCACGCGTGCGTGCCACAGCACATGTGGAGGTCTGAGGACAATTTGTGGGAAGTGGTTCTTTCCTTCTATCACGTGGGGCTGGTGGGATCAATTCAGGTCTTCAACCTGGGCATCAGTTGCCTTTATCCAGTGAGCCGTTCTTATTTTTTATTTTTGTTTGTTTATGTTGAGATAAGGTCTCTACATAGCATTCAGTTGGCTTTAAACTCCCGGGTAACACAGGCTGGCCTTATACTGGTGGTCTTTGTACTTAAGCCTCCTAATTGTTGGGATTATAGATGCATGTCACTGTGCCCAGATATATTGTGCCCTTTAAAGTGATGCGTACAAACATAGTTTTAACATTATTTTTCTTGCTCTAGTTCCTGTGAAAACAGCTGTAGACATTGTTTCAGTATCACAGCGTGATCAAAACACGTGGAGGTTCTCCTAGTACAAAAGCCTCTGGGCCCCTATTTCACAGTGGCCCGAAGTTCTGTCCCCTCCTCGTTTGGTAAAGAGTCCTTGCATCCTTGAGACGGTGCATTGTTAAAGCTGTTGGCCCGTTTCACAAAACTCTGAAAAACAAAAGAATGATAGAATGGCGGACACTGGTGACAGGAAGCTCCTTGGGTAGCCGTTTACTCATGGCCCTAGAGTTTTAGGGAACTGAGCTTTAAAAGCTTCCCAAGTGTTTTGAAAATATTTGTGTGCATAGTGGGATAGATTTCAAAGTAGGCTTTTAACTGGAAACTTATAAGAAGGGTAGACCAAATTAGCTTTAATGCAACCATCAGAGTACGTAAAGACAGGTAATTGTATCATTATGTTTCTGTGAATGGAGGGTCCATATTAATATTCATACATTCATAGAAGTGCTGAAATCCAGTACCTGCTGAACTGACAGTGCTTTGAATGTTGTTTAAGGCCAAAGGCACTTAAACCTTCCTGTTTATGGCAACAAAATGAAAGAAGATTGCTAAAATCTCATTTGACCCCCAGCAACCAAAGAGCTCAGTTGTTGAAATGTCTTCTGTCTGAAGAGGATAAGACAAATGACGAGCAATTCATTGTGTTGCAAAAAGCTGTTGGAAACCACTGCCTGCTAGTTCCAGATACAAGCTGCATGGGGCATTGCAGAGGGTGTGTCCAGTTAGCAAGGGCCCGGACGGAGGGAGGGCTGCAGACACAGCGTCAGTATTGGTACAAAAGGTGGGCAGTCTACAGAGCAATGTGCCCTAGCCAAAGCTTCCTGGGAATGAATGGTGCTTGGAAATGCAAAATACTTCCCCATAAACAATTGTTCCAACTCCCAGACTCTCCAGGAGGCAAGATCAAGCTGTTAGTGTTGAAGTTAAACCAAGCTACTACTGTGTCCACTGGAGTCCTGTGGAAGGAAGAGCCTACATGCCCCATTCTGTTCTCACTTCTCTTTGGAGAGGGGATATCTGTAAGGAAGTGGTTCACCCTCAGAAAGCTGAGTTCCCCTCCCCCTCTGGAATTTTGGGCCAGGTGGAAGCAGAAACTCAGGGAGCCCGCTAGACCTGAAATGAGACTGGCTGTGTTGCCTCCCGCCGTGTGTGAGTGGTCAGCGCTTTGGGAGGTCGTGAGGAGGAAGAAGATTACAACAGGAGATGAAATGTGTGCTTACCAAAAATTCAGGGTGCATGAAGTACGGTTTCTCTGACGATCCATCATTTGTTTCCAGATCCACAGCGAAGCACAGGAAAAGTATGTCCAGCACAGTTTCAAACACGGACAAGAAACTGTGAGCCACTAGGTAGGCAAAAAAGGCGACTAGGAGCAGGGGGATGGCCCACACCTGGAGTGCGCGGTTGTAGTTAAACGCCATCAGTCCTCCGAAAACAGTGAAGCACACCACCAGTACCTGGGGGGCGGGGGGCGTTGAAAACCTTTATGAATGGAGGGGGCTCGCTGAAAGAAAACCTTTATGAATAGGGTCAGTCAGCTATTTTACCGAGGGTTTTATTTCCCCCGCCCCCCAACTACAAGTAATACTGTTGTGTATGTGTGTGTCTAAAGATAATGGGACAGGCTGAAGTAGAAGGAAAACCGACGGAAGAAACAAAAGCCCAGTGGGTGAGAAGACAGACCTGAACTTTTTATCTGTGTTTGCCTTTGCCTTCATGGAAATGTAATGCACAAACCTTTCTCTTCTTTCTCACCACGGTATGGCAAAATCATCAGGATCCTCACTTGAGGATGCGTGTGTACATGTGTGGGGTGTGTGTGATAATGTGTGTGCCTGTGTGTGCCTTCCTCTGTTGCTCTCCACTGTAGTTTTTGAGTTAGGGTCTCATTGAACCTGGAGCTCATCCATTTGGCTTCCAGAGACTCCCCCTATCTCCACCCACCCCACCTCCCAGCACTAAAGTTAGACATGTAACGCCACGCCCATCTTGAATGGGTGGTGGTCCTCACGCTTACACAGACGCTTTACCAATTGGCTCTCAGCCCCTTCAAAACTTTTGCTTTTTCTTTTGGTGGTTTTGAGACAGGGTTTCTCTGTAGCCCTGGCTGTCCTGGAACTCACTTTGTAAACCAGGCTGGCCTTGAACTCAGAGATCACCTGCCTCTGCCTCCTGAGTTCTGGGATTGAAGATGTGTGCCACCATGCCCCTTTCTTTTTTCTTTAAATCCCATTTTTGTTTGTTTGCTTTTCAAGACAGGGTTTCTCTGTGTAGCGTTGGCTGTCCTGGAACTCACTGTAGACCAGGCTGGCCTCGAACACAGAGATTCCCCTGCTTTTGCCTCCTGACTTCTGGGATTAAAGGAGTGCGCCTCCTGGCTTTAACCCCATTTTTATATTGTGAGCAATTGAAGAGGTGAATTATTAATTTCCTAAGTGATTGGTTTTACCCTCCAGGCACTAAAGTGAAAAGGCTTTCCACTGCTAGTGTGCAAGATAATTGGATTCTCCCAGGCTTTTGTGACATGTAATTATTATATTTCCAGGAACACACTTATAGGCTATGGTATACTCAGTTTTTTAAAAGATGTGACAGAATCCACCTGGGGGCCTCCATTACCCCTGGATGCCTGCAAAGATAAATATGGAATTCAGAATGCTACTTCCTTCAGAAGCCTAAAGTCACTAATTATCCCATATTTTTGAAAGCTCATTAGGCATGGTATGCTTCTTACGGGAAATCTTAAGAAAATGAATTTATATTTTATATTTAAAGTGAAAAATGTAAGTGCATTAAGAATTATGAAATTGAACTAAAAATAGTTTTGGAATTAGAAAATGCACCTGTCACCCATAATCCGACTCGGGTGACAGTATCACCAAATTGCACGCAACTGTACCTTACTTGGCTGTTCTGAAAGGCATAATTATATTGTGCTTCTGTGACTATTGTCACAGGAAACATCTCTGGGGCCCAGGTGAGCCTTGAATGTATGTGTGATTAGCACACACCCGTGAGATTGATCCAAGCATGTCTTAACCTGCTGGGAGCTAGCTAAGACGGCCATGCACCAAACAGCACACCAGAGGCCCAGAAGCATAGAATCCTAATGGGGCACAGTCCCCATGTCTTCATCGCCCATGTCACAGTCGGTGACCAGGACCTTGTTCACTTGTGGGCGGTGCTGAAAACTGGAATTCCTATCAGGGAGGGAGGAATGGTTTTGAAGACGGAGTGCATCGCTTTGAATACGGAAGACATGGTGGGAAGGATCAGGGTCAGGAATCGGAATGGCATCTAAGTGGAATGGGGGTGCTAGAGAGATGGCTCAGCAGTTTGGGGTGCATGCTGCTTCTGCAGAGGACACAGGTTCTGATTTCTGTGGCCAAATCAGGCTGCTCACAAACTATAACTCCAGTTCCAGGGGCGCTGAGACCGTCTGTCCACCGCTGTGTGCACATGATGCCCATAAACACAGATCCATACACAGGACGGATAGATGATGGATGGATGGTGGGTGGGTGGGTAGATAGACAGACAGAGACAGACAGACAGCTCCTTAAGTGGAAGTGGCATCAGGCAAACTGAACTATGCAGAATGAGGCCCAGAAGATTAAAAAGTACATGGAAAGAGAGGTACAGCATGTGGCATGGTGGAGAGAACTTGAGACATGACCGATCAGGCTGGCATATCATCCCGTTCATCAACATTCCGGTTATTATCCCTACCACCCAGGAGAGGCACAGGTTTTATTTGTTTTGATTTGGTTGCAGTACTGGATCTTGACCCCAAGGACCTCACACAATTCAACACCAGTGTTCTCCCACTGACCTACATCATACCCAGCCCATTTTTAACTCTTTATCTTGGAGATAAAAAAAAATTAGGTCTCACTAAGTTGTCCAGTCTAGCCTTGAACTCACTCTATAGCCCAGGCTAGCCTTGGCCTTGAGAGCTTCCTGGCTCAGCCTCCTGAGTAGCTGGAGGGTTGTAGACCTGTATCACAAGACCCTGAAGTTCAGAGTTTCCAAGTTATGGGCTCTGTCCTTTACACCACAGGACACTGGAGCTCTAAGGAGCCTCTTCACCACACAAGACATTTAAAAAGATAGTCAAGTGACATCAGAATACAACTGAGCTGACTTCACTCAGATTGCTCCTATTCCTTTTCTTTAGACAAGTTCTGGCTATGTGGCCCTGGCTGTTCTGGAATTCACTCTGTAGACCAGGCTGGCCTCAAACTTAGAGATCTGCCTGCCTCTGCATCTGAGTGCTGGGTTTAAAGGCATTCACCACCACCACCACCACCACCATGTTCGGGTTTCAGATTCCATTATATAGACTTACTGCCCTTAAATAATGTACCAATTAATCAAATCAACACTACTTCTACGCTTTAAGACAAAAACCAATCTACAAAACTTCCTGATTTCTGAGGTCAGTAGCGTTTTCATTTTAGATAGACAAAACCAGGGATCAAAATGGTGGGATTGGCCAGAGGTGAGAAAGATAAACTAAGATTAAAAGAGTGTCTGTACACGCTGTGGGACCCTGGAAACATGAAACCTTAGATCTTCGGCAGAACAGGCAGCCTCACAGGGTTGAGGAATGAATGAGATAATGAAGCAAGCCAGCCTCCATGTTGTCTAATTTGTTGAATTCCAGGTTCTGTTATTTAGTCAAGACATCTCACCTTTCCCAGGAAAATGACGAAGTTTCCAAAGCAGTTAACAGACGTGAGATGACTGGAATTCTTGGACATGATTTTGTGTGCATCTTTCGCTGATGTACAAAAATCCGTCCCATTAATGGCAGTTGCGGTGTACGCATTCTAGAACAAGAGACAGTAGTTATGAACATGAATATGCTGCCATTTCAAGACAACAGAAGGACCGTATACAATCTGTAGCTGTAAACAGAGTATCTCCACCCGAAACAAATAAGCTCAAAGTCTCTTTCAGTTTCTGATTATATTCAAATATATTTGCATACTGTTGTGGTAAATGGAAAATTATCTCTCATCGACATGGCAGCTTAAAGGTCCCACCACAAACGTGGAAACAGTGAGTAAGCATAAGTTATTTTTTAATACACAGTAGCATTGGAGGGCAGGAAAGGGGGTTTGAGGACCAGAAAGAGAGCAGCCCCTCGTGACCTGTGAGCCAAACACCAGGGTGCAGCTGGTACGGAATTAGTGAGGGCTTCAGGAATCAGGATCCCTTAGGCCTGAGAGATAGTGTTGGTTCTTGCTAGAGAACTGAGTTTCCTGTACAAATTAGGATTCACAGTTCAAAATCGACCAACCATGCAGAAAAGTGCTTGAAAGACACTCTACTGTGTGTTGAAGGTCGTTAAACTATCTGGAATCTGGGCAAGAGCAGAGCAAAGTCATCCCCCAGGGGATGGTGGAACCCTACAAACACTTGCCCTGACAGAAGCCGGCTCCCAGGAACAAGACAGACCCAGGAATATGCATAACCTACAGAACCTTTTACTCTGGGGAAAGCCGCAGTCAGGAAAGCAGCATGCTGAAGGCGCTCGGAGGAAATGGAACACAGGTCAGGATGGTATGAACGAGGAAGAGGCAGAGTAGAAAAACAATTTAAAAAAAAGTACATTGTGAAAGATTATGTATTTGACTTTTGCCTCTATGTGAGCATTTTATGTTGTTACATGGCATCTTAAATTTTCATTTCCCGTAACTGTCAGTTCTATGGGGATGTGTATGTATACATGCAGGAAGGCACACCTGAACTTAGCCAAGAGGCCAAGAAGTGAGATGGATCTACTGGCTATTTAAAATATTTTGCTGTTACAAATACATAGTGAACACCTTAATTTCCTGATTTTAGATTTCTTAAAGCTAAACTTCCAAAAAAACGAGATTATTAAGTCAAAGTAAGTGTGTGTGTGTGTGTGTGTGTGTGTGTGTGTGTGTGTGTGTGTGTGTGTAGAATGGTAAATTGTTTTGGTTTGTTTGAGACAGGCTCACCTATCACAGACTGGCCTCAAACTTATGATATCATCAAGGACAGCCTGGACCTTCTGAGCCTCTTGTATCTTCTCAAATGCTGGTTTTAGGCTCGGAGACTCACACTCAGTTTGTGTGGTCCTGGGAACTGACTTCAGGCCTTCGTGTATGCTGGGCCAGCACCCGACCAGCTGAACCATACCCCCAGCCCAGACTCATTCTTTTGTAGACTGGAAACCAAGAGGAAGGGCATTTTCCCAAAGCCCCCTGATGAGTCAGTAAGACAAAGCATCCTTTCTTTATATTCCAACTGTCTGGATTTTACATTCACCAGTTTTCATTAGGCCAAAACTCAATTCAAAAGCATGGTGGTTACGGGAAGCACAAGCCCCGTAGTCCAACTGTCTCTGGGCTCAGATCTTTCAGTGAGAAGAGGAGATACTGGGCATGGGCCAGTGACCAGCCTCTCTTGAGCTCCCTTTTCTTCTCAGTAAAGGCGGGCAGAGCACCAACTGTTGGGAGGATTGAAGACACATTGCTGTGGAGCCCAGCATCTGGCAATGACACGTGCGTGAAGCCTGGTCACTCTCATGTCACGAGAGCTCTCCAAAAGTGGCATCATTTACCCCTGGGAGCACGGATCAGCTCCTCTCGCTCTCGGAGCCATAGGAAGGACCTGTGTTGTCTTCATCCTCAGGCTTCACATCACAAGGATCCGGGAGTGGCCAGCCACATGTCTCCAACCACGTCCCAGTGCTCAGTGTGGTTACCATGGCCTCCATCTTTGATTCCTCTCTCCATTCAGGTGTTAGCCCAACGCGTTCCCTTTCTAAACTGATTCCTAGTGGATATACGGAGTCATATGGGGAAGCGTAGTTTTGTTTTCTGAGGGAGCGCCCCCCCCCCAACCCACTCCCTCACAGTCAGTTTAGTGCTATCCATCACTCATAAGCAACAAAAATAGGCTGTCTTCCCTGGCTAAGATGATTAAAGGGTACATTTTCATGCTTGCGTCAACCCCGCAAATTTCGAGGGGGCTCATAACCATTTATCTTTAACGTCTCGTGGCCCACTGAAAGAGAACATTAAAGCCACATTGACGGGAAATTATATATGCCTTGCTGAAGTGACTACAGTACTAGTATTTTACCACAAGAGTCAACCCTGAGTGCCACATCAAGGCCTAGATTAATGATGGACTGAATGAGTGGAGGAGGGTAGCATCGTCCTAGACACAGGGTGCAGACTAAGCGTTCTGCTGTTTCAGCACTAGTGGGCCCACACTCATGCTGAGTAGAGGCGGTTTCCTTAGTGGGCATCCGGAGGATGGACTCCACCAGGCCGTCCACAGTGTGTGATCATGCCTGAGCTGACCGCTTCGGGGCTGTGTGCTAAGGCAGCGACAGAGCTTGATGGTGTGTGGAGAGGATGGCTTATGATGAGGACTAGGAGGTAAGGACATCATGTCGATCATGAGTGATTAGGGGAGGACCCCCCCCCACACACACACACACCATGGCTAACCTTTCAGCAAGGGAAAGAGAGGGTAATGGTTAAATCCCTTTAAGTGGATGACGACATAAAATCCACAGGGTGAGCTGCTTTTATTCCTTTTTGTGAAATAGGCTCTCATGGACCTGTTCTCGAACTTGCTTTATAAATAGAATGGCTTTGAACTTCTGGTCTCCTGTCTCCTGCCAGGATTTACAGCATCTGCTGTTCAGGCAAGCACTCTACCAAATGAGTAGCTCCCTCTCTAGCTCAGGTCAAAGGGTTTAAGATTTTACTTTCTAGGGGATGGAGAGATGGCTCAGTGGTTAAGAACACTGACTATTCTTCCAAAAGTTCAATTCTCAGCACCCACATGGCAGCTCACAACTGTCTGTAACTCCAGTTTCAGGGGACCTGACACTCATGGCAAAACACTAATACATATAAAATAAAAATAAATAAATTTTAAAAAAGATAATACTTTCTATGAGGTACCTTAGAACGAAAAAGTAGAAGCAGGTAAAATGAGAGAAGATTAGAGAGAGTTTAATTTTACGTTTTCTAGGAAATAACAAAGGCTGTGGGAAGAAGGAGGCATGAATTATGGCTGAAAACCATCATATCAGAAGTTTGCAAGACATTCCCAGACAAGCCCACAGGGCACTGCTGCACTTAGGGTCAATGTGGTGTGACCACACATCCACCAAGCACACTGGCCCAGTGGCAGTGATGAACCAAAGCCTGGCCCAAAGCCAAGAAACTCTCCCCTGGCCACAAATGCCAGCACTAGGAACTGTGATTCTTCTCAGATGCCGACTCCTGAACACCCTGACACCGGCAGATGTCCTAGTGGTTTGCCCCCAAACAACTTGGCACAAACCTGAAGAAAGCTTCTTATCTCTTATCTGTGGCCTTCAAATGTTTTCTTCTGTAGGTAGGTGTGTGTGCAACTTCTACGTGAAAGTAGGTACAGTCACAAATATCCATTCAGTACACCAAGTGTACCACATTCTAGGCTCTCTCTGGAACATACTGACTCATTTAATCCTAGCCCCAAGACAGTAAGGTAGCAGAGAGAACCCAAGCACAGAAAGTCTAGATGGCACGCCAAGTCACACGAAGGACACACACGATGTTACATCCCTCCTGCATGGAGAGGACCTCCGACTCGCCGGACCCATCTGCAGGAAAATATTTACTTTGAGGTGTGCGTTGCCTTTCAAAGCAGCAGTGTGGGGTTCTTGTGAGATCTCCCATCGTGAATATAGCAGGACAATTTTGAAGAATTGGGTTCTGAAAAGGATTGCTTCCTAAAGCCTGTAGAGTGATCTCTGCAAGGTCTTGCCTCTTCTAAGGAACCCCATTTGGGACTTTGTAAAGAGACATCTGCTGGCTTTAAAGTTCTGTGTTAAAGACTACCATGTTTGTTTGGAGAGTGTTCAGTGGGTTCAGCTATGCCCACGTGAGGACCTCAGCTCAAATTAAAATTTTAATTAAATTAAATCAAATTAAAAGCTGAGTGAAGCCTGGAAAGATGGCTCAGTGGTTCGGAGCACTCGCTGCTCTTACATAGGACCTGGCTTTGGTTCCTGACACATGCATGGCAACCCACAAACCTCTAACTCCAGTTCCAGGAGTCTGATGCTCTCTTCCGGCCTCTGCAGGCACCAGACATACATGTATGCAGGCAAACATTCCTACACATAAACAAATCTTTTAAGAAAGGAAAGCTGAGGCTGGTCACACACTTCTGCAATCCTAGTGTGGGAAGGGGCAGAGACAGGAGGGTCCCCAGGGCTTGCTGGCTCCCAGACAGCTCCAGGTTCAGTAAGAGACCCTCCCTGTCCCATGGGAACATGATGGAGCATGATAAAGCAGGACACCGGATGGCCTTCTCAGGCCTCCATGAATATATATCTATGCTTGCACCCCCACACACATCACACACACACACACACACACACACACACACACACACACACACACGGACCAGGAACCCTGATCACATTACTTGACCTTAACTCAGTCAAATAATCACTGCAGGCACTATTATCCCCATTTAATAGGAAATTCAAATCACTGTGCTTTTAGGTAACAAAAAGGCTAGATCACCTCTTCATTTTGAAAGTTCTCCAAGAATATTAACACATAGACAGGGTCCCCTCCCCCTCCTAAGATCAAAACTGAAGCTTTCACAGCCTGGCCCGTGGTCCTCTGTCCCCTGAGAACACCCGTCTGTCCTCCACCCAAACTGAAATGGTGACTTTGAGCTGCTGTTGACTCTTCAAAAAGTAAATAGAATTTTCCTCCACAGAGAAGGGAAGGGATTCGCCCCAAAGCCCTGCCATGAATAGCTAGCTTTATTTCTG